GTCTGCAGTTATTTTTTCTGTTCATAATTACTGAGGCAGCTTGCTATTTTCATGGCTGTTTTTAAAACATTTGAAAGTATTCGTTAAAATAATTTCTGTGGTGGCATGTTTTTTCCTTTTCTTTAACTGACTTCTTTAAAAATCCCTGGAAAACAAACACAGAGAAAAAAAATGAAAATATGTTAAAATAAGGAATAAAGYAGTTACTGAAGTGTAATAATCTTGGTTTATAGCACACTTTCCATTTAAATTGGTTTTATTAGAGATAAACCTGTTAAGCGTTGAGGAATTAAGTGCTGAATAGAGAATGTTGTTTCGCTGCTGTATAAATGAAGGATCCCAGTATGCAGAAARGAGTGAAACTGGTTTTACAAGGGAATTATTTGCCAGTTTGAAGTGCTACGTTTACTTTGGCGTCTGTTATAAAAATGATGATTTGTTTGTTGTCAAGCGGGATCCTGGTTTTTTCAGAGGGGCATGAGAGGTTTTAGCACTGGGGTTTGTAGGTACTSTGGGCTTTCTCATTCTTCTTACGCCTGGTTTGCTAGAAGGAGCTCAAGGAGAAAATGAGGCAGAGAGATTTTCGGGAATTTCTTGGCACTGCTAGTGAGACTCAGACTTCTGGTGTGTGGTGCTTTGGGACAATACTGAGAGGGAGCAGCCTGTGACTCTGAGTAGCARAAGTCAGTAATGGTGTGAAACTCCTCATTTCGGAGGGCTGGGGGCAGAGAAAAATTCAATAGACAGCAAAGTCTCAGCATCTCCTTTCAGACAGCTGGTCCTGGAAAATTTCATTCGAAGAYTGCAAATTGGAAGTCCCCACAATCGCTCTGTCGATTCTTGAGCAAAGGTGACTTTGGAAATCTGTGACAGCAGAGGAAGGTCTTGTTYTATTCACTCAACAGAAGTGAAATACAAGGGGAAGGGAGAAAGAACAGATCTGTGCAGAAAATGTCACTTGGGCTGTAACCTGAGCCTTAGCGAGCTGTGCCTTTCGGAGGCTTTGGTGACCCTCTGAAAATCCTTGCTCTCTGGCTGCTATTATTGTAGCCAATTTCCAACTAAAATAAGTCTTTTGTCATCACYGGCCATGCAGCCTCTTGCTGAGAAGAAACAAAACTTGTGCGTGGCAGCCAGGGCGGCCAAGCTGAAGGTCAGAGTGCAGAGGCAGATTGCTGCATCCCCGGGGCTGGGCTGGAGCTCACCCGTGGGACCAGCAATGTGCCAGCCAGAGAGTCTGCCACTGACCTCTGGAGACAGACCCCAGGCCAGAAGCCTAAGAGAAAACATCCTAGGAAAATGCAAATGGGAGAAAAGAGGGTTTCCTCCTCGTCTTTAGGATTATGCAGGTGGAATTGCCGGGTTTTTCTTGCTTTTTTTGGGACGTGGCAGGAAGTGCAATCCCATGTGTCTGAAAAGAACAAGGAAAAGTTAACTTGGAAAGAAAAAAAAAGAAAATACTTCAAACTTCTGTGTTTGCCCAACTGTTCAAATGTTTTCTCTGTGCCAGATCCTTCTCCTTACAAAAAAAAAAAAAAAAAAAAAAAAAAAGAAAAAAGGCAGCCCAAGGCATTGCTTTGCAGGGTGCAACTTGTGCAGTGAGGGATAATGTTGGCTGTGCCACTCTTGATCCTACTCTTTTGAGGCAAAAAAACCCAAACCAGAAAAAACCCTTCCTCATCAGAGCATAGGTACCACAACATATAGCACCGGTGTGGGGAAAAATACTTTATGCAARCCTTTGAGCCTGATCAGGTCTTTACTCACATGAGTAAGGTTATAGATCTGTCTTAACTGTTATGTTGAATTGTATTTTGATAATACTCCCTTTCAGTAGCAGTTAATATGCAAATATCTTTTTAGGTCCTGATTTCTCTGAACTTTTAAAGATTAGAGTGATTTAGTGTTTCCTTCTCTAAAGATCAATGAATATGAGCATTTGCGAAAAGGGGAAGGAGATTTTTCCTGTAGCTTCTCTGTTCCATCATTTTGCTGATGTTCAAATTRGCCTGGTACTTTGGAAATTCGAAGACTGATGCTGGCACTTCTCACAAAGAAAAAGTCTAAGAGTAGGAAGAAATTAACCCCATGCCCGTATATTTCTGCAGCAACAGCTAATTCGCAGTTTTGCCTGCRAAGAGTTCTCAGATGTGATTTATAAACATCACAGCACTGCATTGTGCTCTCTCAAGGCAAGCTACATTAATTGTTTTAATCTGATAGGTTCTTACGAATTCCAGGTTTGGGATGCAGGAAGAAACTTGAAAGTGAATACTTTCTTCTTTTTTTTTTTTAAATGCATAGTGGTTTGGAGTCTACTATAATGCAAAGTAAAGCGTTGTGTTACAAAGGCAGGGAGGATGGGACAGAAGGTTAAAGGGCATCCTGGAAACAAACAGCTGGACCAGTTTATTTAAACAGATACAAGGATGGGGAGCTGACCTCCGTTTGACTTCTAGTGGGAGGAGCGAGAATGTCATTTTATTACTTTGCCCAGAAGGAAAATGTTCTTGTGTCTGAATTCCCCCCAAAGACATCCAAACAGTGAGCTGTTTGGCAGAATTGCTACTTATAGAAAATACTTACACAAATGCGTAGGAAGAAGATAACTGTTAAGTACCTGTGTGTAAAATGTTCTTAAAGCAGGTATCCCAAATGATAGCGCGGGGCAAACAGGTGAGATTATGTTTTACCAGAGACACATCTTGTGGGTAATTATTGGTAAACTCTAGACACATAGTTTATTCTGGTATATTAGTATATAAACAAYACTGTATATAGTGTAGTTTATTATTTTGAGATCTCCCCTCCCTTCCCCTTAGAGGTGGTTTTAGTTTGGAGGAGAATGAAGAAAAGGTTGTGAACTTGAGGTGCCTAATGTAGCTCAGCATTTATTTGGGGTAAAAGCTATTTTGGTGACCAGTCACTCTCACAGCTCCAAAACCCCTCTCCTCCCACCACAGTTCCAGGTCCTGGCAGTGGGGTAGGAGAATGATGGACTAAACACAGCAAGAGCCTTGCCAGACTCCCAAAAAGAAATGGCTGAGGCACTGGGGTTTTGTGTTGTTGTTTTACTTSGAAGAGTTACTGTGAAAATTGCTTTCTGCAAATGCAGATTACAGATATTAAACAATTTTCTAATTGGTCATGGAGCTAAGGCAGCTAATGGGGGAAAAAAGCAGATTTTTTTTAATTGCTTATTTCACATGGTGTTTGTGCTACACCTGTGCTTATAATGAGAAAGGAGAATTAGTCTAACCTTCTGCTCACATGATTCTAATTTTCATGGTTTGTACAAGATAATGATAAACTGATTTGCAACACTGTTTGCTGGAGTCGAGAGGGGTGTTTATTGGAAATGTGTAGAAAAATTGATCCAATACTGTTGCTGACAAAACATGACCTAATTCAGGTGTAAGGCTTCCAGACTGGCAGCCGGGTTTGGTGCCTTTGAGCCCGTTTCCTCAAGACAGATTTGGTAAAGATCAACATCTTGATYAATTTTTGCAGGAGTTGGGGTAATGGGTGTCAGTGGGGAATGGGAGATRGGAGGAGTCTGAAATCACTGTGCTGGTCTTTGATGAGGGCAAAAGAAACAGCATGGGGCAGCAGTTTGCTATTCTTCTCYCCTCTGGTGTAGGTGAGTGGGTGGGCAGAGCTGATTCCTGCTGAAAGATCCTGGTGGCTTTATCTCTGTGGTGGGAGAGCTCCTGCTAAGCCACCCCAAGCAAAGGCAATGAAAACAAGCATCAAGTATTCCTTTGTGGACTTTCCTATCCCGTTTTACAAGTCTGATACGCTTTAGCCCACACTCAGACTTCTTCCTTTACTAGTAAATATTGTGGCATACGTGTTTTTATTATTCTTTTTCTCTCTCATAAAGAGTGCAAAGTCTGATCATGCAGATTTGCTGTGATTAAATCTTGATGGGTATTTTTTTCCAAATGAATTTTGAGTAAACTTTCTTCCAAGTGAAACCTCAATAGAGATTCTTCAAATGCTCTTTGTTCAGACAGGTTCCCAGCTGTGGTTTCCAGCCCCTTGATTTCAGCACCATGAGGAGATCAGGATAGTTGTGATCTCTCTCCTTCTTCTGTTTTGCTCCAAATTATTTTGATTATTTCCAAATAAGCATTGCAAGACTAACTGAGGCAAAGAACAGAAACACAAGGAGTGGGGTTGCAGATAGCTCTTTTTAAAAATTACATTCCCTCATTTTTTTTATTATTTCCAAAGATCTGCTTTTCATTGTTCGGGGGGGAATTTTCAGTAGTCCAGTAATTACAGTTTAACAAGATGTTTGCTGTAAATGGTCAGGCCTAGCTGGAGAAAACAGGATTATAAATTCAATTACTGTAAAGCTATGACCTCGCCTTGACCCCCTCAGACTTTGCATAAAGAGAGGGAGGGGGGAGAAAGCCCACCAAGAAATGGCTAGGAGGAATGCATGGCTCTGAAGTCCCCAGCAGTGTGACTTAGYGGTGATAAAAGTCCAGACGTTCCCTCATTTGATGGGGTTCTGCCATCACAGTTCATTATCTTAATAGTGGGCATTAAAAGGGAATTAGGTTTGCAAGAGGTAGGGGCAGGTTTTGATAAAGAAAAAAAAATTGGAAAAAGAACTCAGAGGACATAAGGCAGAAATGACACTAATGAGGGGGGAGGTAGCAGATGCCCTCACGAGCATCTCGCCGGCTTCACACGTTTTTGTTTTTTTGGTGCCCCATTCTGTATTGAGAAGAGCGTTGCTGGCATTGTTTCCTGAAAATTCGGCTAATTCCCCCATGAAAAGATGAAATGGAAGTGTCCGACTGTGGTAAAAGGCAGGCAAACATAAATCAGCTTGGAAACCCCAAGCTCGTGCTCTCAGAGGTCATCAGGGTTAGAGGTTTAGCAGGGTTTGCATCCCCACRCAGCCCAATGGAGTAGGGTAAAAGGGCTTGGGGATGGGTGGAAGACATCCCTTCCCTAACCATTTGCTTTCCTCTTTTTTCTTGCAGGTTTATTAATGCTAGAAGAAGAATAGTTCAGCCCATGATAGACCAGTCCAATCGAGCAGGCAAGTCCCCAGTATTTACTGTATTCAAATCATGCAGGGAAAAACAGTCTTCAAGCCATTCACCGGGAGGTCCGGTACCTGGTAAATAAATGAGAAATGAATGCTGGGATTAATTGACAACTAAAATACAACCAGCTTTCTTTCATTATGACTCGAATCATTTTGGAAAAAAAGACATTGAAAATTCAAAAAGAAAAACTTAAATTACCTGCTCTGTGACCGGACTTTTTGTACCTGATCCCAATTATTCTTACATTTTTTTAGRAGTTGTTTGGAGTGTTCCTTCCCAGCTTTTTCTGCTCCTGTGACCACTCCCTGGTGCATGGCTTGGTGTGGAATTGCTGTAAACTTTATTACCTGTCAAAAGGGCAAAGGGGTCAGAATCACTTGTGGGACTCAGTAAAGTTCAAAGACATTCAATGAGGTAGAGCTTTATGTGCTTTAATAACCCAAGCCAGCTTACTTCTGAAGCTGGCTTTTAATGTACAGTGAAAACTTCCAGTTCAGGTAGTGGTACTTGTATAGGGTGCTTTTGTCCCTTGGCTCTTCTTTTGGGATTGCTGAGCATTTGCTATTTGCTTTGAGGGTATTTATTTCTGGTTTTTTTTTGAAAGACCTTAAGTTTTCACATGCTAGTTCTGTTTGGGGTCCTGGCTCACAGCTCTCTGTGTGTATTTACCATCGAGGATCACCCATTACTCCCYGCTGGTTTTGTTTTCAGAGTCTCACTCCCAAACTCTCCAAATCCATCGTTGTCCAAAGATGCCTTTGGGCCACACTTCCTCTTCAAGTACATTTGATTATTTGTCATTAGACGTAAATAGCTGGCATGGACGTGTTCAGGTCCTGCCCTTTGAAGGCACAAGGGCGTAATTTAACACACTGCAATTTCAGTGTGACTATTCTAGCCATAAAATCCGGCTCCTATGCAGGTTTTGTGCATTGACGTCAGCAGCGGCAGCAGCTGGAGCTGGGGCTCCTCATGTCTCAAGATTTCAGTTTGCTAACTTCATTTCCAAACTTGCAGAAGGAAATAAAGCCAAAACTGAGTACGCTTGTTAGTCTAGCCGCTAAATTCACACAGTAGATGTTTTCCCCTCCTTTTAGAGCCAGCATTGGTACCCCCTGGGTTGAGGGGGTTATGTCTTGATGCTGTGAGAAGCGGTGACTCTTTTGGCTGTTGCTAAAAAGAAATATTCTGCACCTTTGCAGTAAGTCAAGGGACACCCTATAACCCCGACGGACAGCCCATGGGAGGCTTCGTGATGGACGGCCAGCAGCACATGGGCATCCGAGCGCCAGGTAAGCCAGCACTGCYCACCTTTGGGTGGCCTTGGTCACACCACCACAGGTAAACACTCCTCTGCCCTCCGCCGCCGTCCCAGCTGCCTGCCTTGCCTCACCTGTCTTCTGCCTGCCTTGCACACCACCGAGGGAAACCAGGCRTCTCCTCGCTCGAGCAGTCCTGGACCCTCTGCCGTGCTGTGTTTTGGAAAGGGGCTTTTGGCACTATCTGTTGACTTTGCTCATTTTCTGGCATCTTCTTGGATTTTTATCTCCCTCTAGGACCTATGAGTGGAATGGGCATGAATATGGGCATGGAGGGGCAGTGGCACTACATGTAACCTTCACCTAGGTAACCAATGGCAAAGCCAGGGGGAAGTAAGTACAAACAAGGTCTTTGTTCTCACTTTGTCCGAGGGATATTTGTCTTCTTGCATTCCCCTATGTTCTCCCTGCCCATAGCCTCATGCTTGTTCCTTCCTTTCCATCCATCCATCCTACGCCTGGGCTCCTTCGGGTTTTCTCTCCCTCTGGTTCAGCTCAAGCTTTCCMAGCTCCCAAAACCCCCCGTGCGCGCGCGCGCCGTACATTGACGCTGCCGTACATCGACGCCGCCATACATTGATGCTATTATCCATCCCCGAGCACATGACAAAACAAGGAGCAGCCAGGGAGGTGGGGGAGCCCGTCGTCTTGGCAACAGACTGATTTGCAAAATGTAAGCGGTCTGCAGCAGCGCAGGGAGAGGAAAGAGCATGTCCCCAAAGTGTCATAAATCTGTCTAACCGCAGTTGATGCATGAGTTACATTTCTCCCGCTAACCTGCAAGACACCAAAAAAGCCAAACAGAGACTTCTCATGGGGTAGGGGGAAAAAAAAMCCCRAGCAAAAACCGGCAGCTTCACTTAGTTGCATTTTGGAAGGCGATGGACGAAACTTTGATTTTTTTTTTTTTTTYYWAWTTTTTTTTTCAAGTTTATTTCTCTTTGTCTGTCCGTCATAATGGGATTACGTGTGGCAAAGGAAAAAGAGAGAATACAAAATAGAGGTGTGCGCAGCAGGCTATGGAGCTTAGCCCAGGCTAATTGACTATATCCAAATTAAGTATGCCATCACTTGCAGTGTGACAAATGGATTTGACTTATTCAGTATACAAAAATAGAGATCATTAATGCAATCTTCAGTGGCAGGCCTCGCAAAGAAAGCCTAGAAAAACTGTCCCAGATTTTTTTTTCCCCTCTTGTCTTTTTCTAGGGGAAAATACATTATACACATTTTTGTATTTTCTTTTTTTTTTTTTTAAACAGTAAAATGGTTCAAAACACCAAGACATTTGGTACCATGTTTAAATGGTGCCTGATTCTGTTTCTCTTGCTCTTTTTGTGGAGTTAAAAGAGTTATTTCAGCATCTTTGTTGTGCCCCCAGCCTATATTAACACAGGGTTTGAAGTTACCCAGGGCAAGTGTATTTCGTAGTAGTCTTCCCTGAGCCCAAGTCAAAACTAAGTTTTAACAATTAGCTGTGAAAACATTCCTCTGAGCTTGGGAATGCAATAGCCTTATTACCTCATCATGAAAATTTCTAGCTTAGTTAATTTAAATATTGTTTCTTAGTTTCTGGGTCAATTAAATTTAAATGATGTATTTTATGCTTCGTGACCAATTAAATTAATAGGTTATTACAAAAAATATTATCATCTTTTTTGATTAAAGAGCTGTGAGTACAGTATATTTTATAAGCAATTTTCATTAGTTCAAAACTGTTCCTTTAGGCTAGATTAAGCAGCTATTCATTGCTAGAGCCTTGAGACCTGATTCCAAGGTGTTCGGCGCATTCACAGCGCGCTCTTACTTAGAACTAAAGCCAATTGAACCTACTTAGCAATAGCGTATGCCTTTCACCCTTGATGATTATGGAGCTTATAGCTCTCCGAAACAATACACCTGTCAGTTCCCATCAGCTACAGCAATCCAAGCAGAAGGCAGAGGCCCACAGAAAGCAGGAGGTTTTATTGTTTTAGGTCCAATTTTTTTCTTATTGTTCTCCCAAACCCACTGAAAGGTTTGACTGGGTTGCGCGTCTGATTTTTTTTTTTGTGGCCAGAAGTGGAGGGGGGTAAAGAAAGGATTGATAACTGTCATTGATTATGCATATATTTTTAATGTGTCTAAAAATATGGCTTTGATTTAGCAGTCGTACTTAGTAATCCTATCAATTTCGGCTTCATACGAGGCCTTTGTTCGGTGRTGTACGTCCCTGCTGTAGTGCATCTATTTGAATGGCACGAATACTTGGGACAGATTCCAAGTGATCAGGCTGGAGAGCTAAATAAATAGCTGTTGATAAACCTTGACACCTATTTAACCCATCGCTCCTCCCAGCTCCCTCCTTAGCTGCTGCAGATTCCCTGCCTTGTATTCCCAGCATGCTTTTGCAAGTGGGGAGATGAAGGCAGGTGGCTGGAGAAAGACCACGGGGAGCAGAGCCCACCTGAGAGCCCTCCATGTGACATTTAGTCCTCCTCAGGCTGGCTCTGCCTCTGGCACGCTTCCAGACCAGAAACATCTCCATCGCATACATTCCTAACCATAAAAGCAGAAAGCTGTGATAAAACAGATAAACCAAAAACTCTGTATTTGGAAGGGGGGAGGATGCTCTCGGGGTTGGTTTTTTTTGAGCTGGGGGTCATTCCTGTTGCTGTTGCTGTTCCTGGGGGTCATTGTGAGCCCGTACGTGGACTCCCAATCCACAGAGGCAGCAGCTCCCGCACGCCCGTGGCTCTCATCCCGCCCGGGGCTGGAGCCCGGCCTCTGGAGCATCTTCGTGGCTGACGAAGCTAAGCAGGTCCCCAGCACTCACCACCACCTCTTTCTCTCCCTCTGCAGGGCTGCAAAGTATGCCAGGGGATTATGTGTCTCGGGGTAGTCCAATGGGTATGAATATGGGACAGCCAAGCTATACCCCGCCCCAGATGCCCCCCCATCCTGCTCAGCTGCGTCATGGCCCCCCCATGCATACCTACATTCCTGGACACCCTCACCACCCAGCGATGATGATGCATGGAGGACCACCCCACCCTGGAATGCCCATGTCATCATCCAGCCCCACAATGCTTCATACCGGCGAGCCAGCAGTGAGCGGACAAGTGATGGACATTCATGCTCAGTAGCTTAAGGGAAATTACACGTCGTCTGCAGCGATGGTAGATTTCAAACATTGCCTTTCTGCAATGACTATGGAGTTCTTGGCATCAACTTTGGACCAAGGGACGTTCCAATTCTTCACAGGGACCCTGAAAAAGCAGGAAAACACCAACTGAAGTCAACTTCTGGGGACATGCTAAATACCTATATAAGACATTAAGAGAACAAAGAGTGAAATATTGTAAAATGCTATTATACTGTTATCCATATTACGTTGTTTCTTATAGATTTTTTAAAAAAAATGTGAAATTTTTCCACACTATGTGTGTTGTTTCCATAGCTCTTCACTTCCTCCAGAAGCCTCCTTACATTGGAAAAGAAGCCTTACACTTATCCTGCAAATGACAGAAAGGGCTTATTTGCAGGATTTTTAGAGCATTAAAATAACTATGTCAGGCAGAAGAATCTTTCTTCTATCCTAGGATTTCAGCCATGCGCACTCTCTCTCTCCCCCCTCTCTCCTCCTCTGTCTGTCTTTCTTCCCTTTCTCTCCCTTTCTCCCCGTCTCTCTCCCTCTCTCTCTTTCTAGCCTGGGGCGTGAATTTGCATGTCTAATTCATTTACTCACCATATTTGAATTGGCCTGAACAGATGTAAATCGGGAAGGATGGGAAAAACTGCAGTCATCAACAATGATTAATCAGCTGTTGCAGGCAGTGTCTTAAGGAGACTGGTAGGAGGAAGCATGGAAACGGAAAGGCAGTGTATTTGAAGCCTAATTGTCACATCAGAGCATCCTTGTCCCCGTGCAGCAACCACCACCTTGTACATCACTTCCTGTTTTATGCAGCTCAAAACATGGACTGAAGATTTATTTTTAATATGTTGACTTTCTTTCTGGGCAAGACATCGGTCATGTGTGCATTTTTTTTTCCATAGTCCCATCATGGAGCATTTATGTATACATTGTAAATAAATTTTGTGCAAAAAGGACTGGAAAAATGATCTGTATTATTGCAATTTTTTGTAAAAGTAGCAGTTTGGTATGAGTTGGCATGCATACAGATTTACTAAGTGGGATAAGCTAATTATACTTTTGTTGTGGTTAAACAAATGCTTGTTGATAGCCTTTTTCTATCAAGAAACCAAGGAGCTAATTATTATTAATAATAATCATTGCACACTGAGTCTTAGAGTTTCTGATTGAAACAGTTTGGATTGTATAATAACTCAAAGCCCAGTTGTAGTAGTTTGAGTGCAGTAATGAAATCTGAATCTAAAATAAAAACAAATTATTTTTTGTCATGGTGACTCCACTGCTTGCAAAATTTGTTTCCTGCCCCCATGCAGTATTTGTAGCCATTCTATCCCAGGCTAAGAGCCGAGCAGCTACAAAATTCAGCTGGCTCTTGAGATGTTACCTTATCATTTGCTGTTTTAAGTATCAGCTTCGTATTTAAAGAATGTAAAAGTAATGCTACGCTGCATAAAGAAACTTTCTTGGAACTTGCACTGTAAATTGTCAGGATGGGAACTGTTGCCTGTTAATAAATGTAATATCATAGGGCATTATTSGACAGAAATTTGTAAATAGTGTTACCCCCTCTCCCTCCCAAATTATAGTCCTAATACACAGTTCAAATTATTGAGTTTCTTTCTGGAATTGAGCATACTAAGGAAGGAGGAAAATAAAACTTGGAAAACATTGCCTGGGCAATGCATATCTGTAAGGGGATGAGGTGCTTCTGGACTTCTGCGAGCAAGGCCAGTGCAGACCCTCATTAACCAATTTCCTCGCACATTTGTGCTTTCTGCACTGAACCAGCGAGGGGAAGAGCCCCGAGCATCCAGCGCGGGCTGCGAGACCTTCTCGTTTGCTTTGAATCAAATCGCAGCTGTAGAAGGAAAAATAAGAGATTCCCAGGGCTAAGCAAATGACACGAATATCTTAATTAAGGCGAAATAATGCAAAGGCCCCCCCTCCTGTCCCGGCGGGAGGTGTCCCGGGTGTGTTGCGGGGCAGATGCCGAGGGGCTCCGGCTCCGCGTGTCCCCCGGGGCACCCCCGGGCTGGGCAGGGCAGGGTGCGGGCTGAGCTCCGGCAGCCAGTGCGGACCTTCCTCAATGAAACAAACCACCAAAGGGGGTCCTCTCCCCCCGTGGCTGGGACTTCCTCCTCCTCTTTTTTATTTTTTATATTTTTTTCCCCCCTCTTTTTCCCCTCTTTTTTTAAAGGGCCGCCGTACCGCTAAGGAGGCTGAAGATCCCGGCTCCTTCTTTGTGAGCCCGGAGTAATGACACTTTTCTGCCAAAACGTGAATGAACGGGGCTCGCTTTTTTGCTTCTTTTTTTTCTT